GCTAAAAGCCTCAGGGGGAAAGAGAAAACTCTTGAGTCAAAAAAGTTTGTATGCCCTGGCCATGACCTTAGAGAAGGCTCTGGATGTGCTCTTCATGCTTCCTACTAATGGTGCCATAAACACATAAACAACCCCTCATTTGTGCTTTGTATAACTTTTGTTGCCTTTTGACCTCATATATACCTTATAACCTTTTGGCCTTGCCTATCCCTGTAATCTTTTGGCCTTGTGAAATGTCACATGCCCACTGACTAAGACTTGCTTTGTGTGTATGCCATATATGAGTAGGTAGTTTCCCCTATTAAATTTTGTCTATATCCACATTGTGTAATTTGCTTTCTGCCCAGGCATCCCATTCCCAGGTCTAGCTGTGTGAATAGCAACAGTTGCTAACTGGAGATAAAATTTCATGGGCTTTTTTCTGCCAGGGCAGATGTCAACTTCCTGAGAAACTAGATTACAGGTATGAGCTGCTGGTGCCCAGATTGAAGCAAATTTTTAAGGTTGTAGAATGAAAGCTTAAGAAAGTACAGCGAATTACTCTCCATTAGTGTGCCCAGGAACACTCTCCATGATTTACAAAAGAATTACCTTTGGATATGAAAATGTGTGTCTTTTAAGCTCCTTAAAGCACATCAAAGGTAAAGAGAGTGGGCTGGGAAGGTGGCTCAGTGGTAGAGCGCTTGCCTTGCATGCCTGAGGCCTTGGGTTTGATTCCCCAGCACCACATAAGCAAAAAGAAAAAAGCCAGAAGTGGCACTGTGGCTCAGGTGGTAGAGCACTAGCCTTGAGCTGAAGAGCTGAGGGACAGTGCCCAGGCCCAGAGTTCAGGCCCCATGACCGGACCCAAAAAAAAAAAAAAAAGGTAAAGAGAGTATCTTTCTATTGTGTATAATCAATCTGGCCTTATGGGCCACTGCTACATCCCCAAAAATAATAGTTCTGAAAAGAGGACATTTGAAATCTTCCTTTTACCTTTGCTTTGCTTTCCTTCCTTTGCCTCCTATAGGGTCCTTTTCATAAAGTTTCATATTCATATTGATAATTGTTATATAATAACAATGATCACATCTGATGTTATATTCAGTGTAAAGGAAAATCAATATTGTATTTAATAAATGTAGAGTACAAATTCTTTTACAGTTCAGCCCAAATAGTTAAATGCAGATATTGAATTTTTCCAATACTTAGAAATACCTGACACTATTGTTATACTATACAAAATCTACACAAAAACATAGGAGATAAGAAAATGCTAGCTTGCTCGGTGCGAGTCACTCACTCCTATAATCCTAGCTACTCAGAAGGCTGAGATCTGAGGACTGTGGTTCTAAGCCAGCCCAGACAGGAAAATTCCCTGAAACATCTCCAATGAACCAAAGAAAACCAGAAGTGGAGCTGTGGCTCAAGTGGTAGAACACTTTCCTTAAGCTGAAGAGCTAAGGCACAATGCCCACACTCAGAGTTCAAGACCCACAACTGACCAAAAAAAAAAAAAATGCTAGCAAAAGAATTACAAGAAGGTACTAAACAAACAATAGTAACCCCCCCAAAAAAAAGATTCTCACTGATTAAAAAAAAAAATAGTAACCCCAAGGAGTAACTGTACAATTCAAATAGTTTTGTAATCCTTAAAATAATTTAAGGCCAGTATGATAATTAATGTCTGTAATCCCAACTCTTTTAGAGAAAAAGATTGAGACATCTTGGTTCAAGAACGTTGAGGCTAGGAATGTAGCTTAGTAGTAGAATGCTTGCCTCAATAAAAAAAGAAGTGCTGCTATGGCTTAAGTTGTAAAGCCTTGAGCACAGAGAGGCTCAGGGACAGAGCCCAGGCCCTAAATTCAAGCCCTAGGACCAATAAAAATCAAACAAACAACAACAACAAAAAAACCCTACAAAACTTTAGTAAAAAAACTGAAACTGTCTCAAAACCAAGCCAGATGTAGGAGTATATGTCTATATTCCCAGCTACTCAGGAAGGAGGATTATGACCTGAAATCTCAGAATTTTTGAGATTCTATCTGAAAATATATGTGAAACAAAAAGGGTAAGGAATATTGCTGAAGAAGTATAATACTTGCTTGGCAAGTGTGAAGTCACAAGTTATAAAGGCTATTGCTTCCAGAGGGAAAAAATTTAATCTGTAATATAAAACACTAAAAAAGAGCAGGGCACCATTGGCTCAGGTCTACAATCCTAGCTACTCAGGAGGCTGAGATCGGAGGATCACGGTTTAAACCCTGGACAAGAAAGTCCGTGACACTCATCTCCAATAAGGCATTAGAAAACTGGAAGTGGCACTGTGGTTTAAGCAGTGAGCTGAAGAACTGAGGGATAGTGCCCAGACCCAGAGTTCAAGCCCCATGACTAACCAAAAAAATAATTAAAAAAGAAAGGACAAGAAGGTACTACTGGATAATTCTACTGAATATTAAAGGAATTAATAAAAATTTTATATCAGTGTCTCAATTTTTACATCATAACCTGATAATGATGTTGTTCATGGTAGTATTAAAAGTGAAAACTACAGGCTAGTGTCTCTCATCTCTGACAACATAACAATAAAAATATATTAGACTATAAGACACAGAAATTACAAAAAAATAAATCATGGTTCAGACCAGCTTGGACCTAAATGTAAACTACCTCAAAAATAATCAGGCTGGGTGGGGAGGGAGGAGAGGATCGGGTCAGGGGAGGTGGGGGGAGTATGGAAAGGGATGGGAAGGGGAAACAAAGAGGAGGCAACAATGCTTGGTCAGAAATGTACTCGTTATCTTGCCCATGTAATTGTAACTCGTCTGTATGGTATTTTCACAATAAGAAAAAAATGATCAGGCTAAAAACTAGCAATATCTAATTAATTATACAGTCAAATTTATTTTACTTTAGGAAGAAGTATGTGTTGTGCAATGTAGGTCTTATATTAATTTCTTTAATTGAAAGACATCTGGGGAAAGGGTTGGACATGACTTAAGAGATACAATACTGCCCAGAAAACTCAAGGCCCTGAATTTAAATCTCATTTTTGGAAGGGGAAAAAAAATACATACAAAACAAACAAAAAACTAAACTAGTGGCCAACTAGTAATGAAAGGAATTTATTCTTGATAAAAGCCTCTCCAAAGCCTGAAGTATAACAATGAAAGATAGAATGTTTTCTCTTATGATTGTTTATGAAGCTATTATGTCCTTTACTGCAATAAGAAAATACATAGAATGCAAAAATGTAAAAAGGACTTAACCCTCTTAGATCACATAATTGAATGCTAAATTTTAAAGCCTAAAAAGCTTTCAAAAAGTTGATAAGTTGATTAAAGGAGTTCACCATCAATACATACTTCCAAGTAATAATGTTTCCTTCATTTCCTATTCATTTAAACATTTAAAAATAGGTGCCAAAAAACAAGATATATGTCAGCAATAACAAAATATAACCAGTTAAGAAAAGTCATTGGTAGAATTCTAAAATCTTTTGTCTTTGATGGCTGATCTGAAATTTTTGCATGGGGTAAAAAAGGTTTGACTTTATTGAACAATGTTAGAATACACAAATAATAGCATTTAAAATATTCAGAAACATTTACTTAAGTAAAGCTGTAGTTATTTCCTTCTGAATTCCATTAAGATAATTAATGTTAACAGATTACAGTATTTGAAAATTACCTTAAAATGATACAGGTGGACCTGTTGCAACAATGAGAAGTACAAGTTGTCATGTCCAAAACGAGCTTTACAACGTTGGTGGGGGGGGGGGGGGGAGGGGGAAGGAGAAGGATTAGGATTAGGGGGGGGAGGGGGGAGGCTAGGAAGGGATGTGAAGGATAAACAAAGGAGGAGGCTGCAATGCTTGGTAAGAAATGTACGCATTATCCTGCCCATGTAACTGTAACTCCTCTGTACAGTATGTTCACAAATAAAATTAAAAAAAAAAAAGAAAATTACCTTAAAATAAAGGATTTTCATACTTTGGTTTTACAACTATTTCTACAAAGCATTCCAAGACTGTATAAAAAAGATACCCTTCCTTAGGATAATTTACTTCTAAAAGTTATCACTTTGGGAAGTGGCGCTCTAGCTCAAGTGGTAGAGTAATAACCTTGAGCTTAAGAGCTGAGGGACAGTGTCCAGACCCAGAGTTCAAGCCCCACGACTAACCTCACCCCTCCAAAAAAAGTTATCACTTTGAGTTCTAAAAGAAAATGGGGGGTGGGGGGGAGGCGGGGCGGGGAAAGGAATGGTGCTGGTATTGGAGTTTTCATTTAAACCTGCTTTTATGCTCAAAGTCAGTGATCCACTGCTTGAGTCATACGCCACTTCCAACTTTTGGCTGGATAATTGGAGTGTTTTGGATTTGTCTGCCCAAAGGTTCAAGCTGGCTCTGAACCTTGATCCTCAGATCACAGTGTTTTAAGTAGCCAGGATTTTGGGTGTGACCTATCAGCATTTGCATAAAAAGATTCTTAATCCATTATACCAAGTATTATTATAAAATATCTTCTGAAATTTTAATCACTTTATTACATTTTAACTCATCACTGAAGTTTCTAAAGAATAAATAAGAAAATGAATATATATGCCAAAAACTTTAGAAGTAAAGGGTATGATAAGCCAAGTATTATTGTAAAATAAGATTATATAGTTAAATAGATGTCCATATGAAATAAGTCTTCATAGAACTTGCTAAAATTAGTGATTAAAAATATTAAAATAGCTTCATCTCCCTAGTCACACCATACTGTATAAGCAGGGAAACATGGAACTTTAATCATCTAATTTTAAAAATAATTGTCAATATATTTGCTCTGCAAACAGAAGTCATCACTTTAAATCTCTTTTCCATTAAATATTCTATGTGATAAAACTGATCAAAGCTACATAATGTTCAAGTCTCAACTTGAAGTCTCAACTTTACTCTAGGTACTATCAACAATTTTTTTTCTACTTAACATTACAGAAGTTGTCACTTAATATAAAATGAGACTAAAAGAAACTTGAAAAATAATCATACTTGTGTTTGGTAGGATGTTTTATATCAGGCACCTTAAAAGCAATCACAGATGTAAAAAATTAGAATTTGTTTTTACATAATTATATATTGAGATTTGTCTCTAATATACATTTGTATAGTGCACACACACAAACATACATTTAAAATATATATTCTTTAAATTAAAAAGAAAACAGAAACTGGGTCTTTGTAGAAAATCTTCAATACTCAAACAGTGGAAAACCCTTTAAACATTAAACAATTTTAATAAAAGTTTCTATACAATATTAAGCAGTTTTTTTACAATTAAAAAACGTAATAGTATTTATTTAAAATTACAATACTCCATATTTAATGGCAAAGTAAGTGTGGGAATAATAACAACATTCCAATCACAAATATTTTCAAGCAATAAATATGCATTTTATAAATACTTTAATTGGTTCAGATTAGAAGCAAAGATCAACCATATCTATTCTTTAGTATGTGCAATCCATTATGTTTGTATCTTGACTATTAACTTCTTTTATTTTAGAATCATAGATTAAGCATCAGGGTCTTAAAACAGGAAACCTTAAGTTGGTCAAAAATTTGATTTAAATTTGTCAATCATCCTTCAAAGAACTGACCAGGTAAACAGTAATCCAGACAGACAGTAATTGTTTCCCTATGAAAATTCTGAAGGGCTAAAATGCAAATAAAAACTAACATATTAGCCAAAACTGCACAGACATAATAAAGCAGTAGTTTGTACAGCTCTGATAGTTTGGTCAGATATACACATAAATCATATAATTATTATTTTATAAAATGTCAGCCAAGTTGGCTTTGTTAAACTTGGAATAAAGGCAATGTATTCTTTGTCTAGTTGCCTAATCTTTTAGTCTCAAAAGGATGCATAGACAGAATTGAGTCAAAAAATCTTACGAATAGCTAGAAAGCCAGTGATATTTCCTGAAGAGTAGAAAGGTCTTGGTGTTCCTAGAACCATATTAAGATGAAGAGGATGATAAAGAAGGAACCTGAAAATAAGAATGATATATATTAATAGTTTTGTCACATAAAGCTGTAAGAGAACTTGTTGCTTATGGCTTTAAACAAGTTAAAGCTACTTATGAAGTGAGTTTGAACAAAACACTTTACCTCAACAGCTAGCTAAGTAAGATGTTTTTACTATTTATACTCGAGAAAGTTTTCCAAGACTTAAAATAGGACATGGTCAAATGCTAGAGCACTCCTGCCCAGGCTCAGAGTTCAAGACCCACGACCAAGAAAACAAAATAAAACAAAAGTCCCAACATTCCGGTGGAATATTAAATGGAATATTAAATTCTTACTAGTAAGTGATCTAAACCTGTTGCTATTAACGTTTTATCTTTCCAGCAAATATGTCATTCAATAACAACTATCAGAAATAAAATTTCAATGAACGTGGCATTGTGGCTGAGGACAACACCTAATCCCTGTGTTCAAGCCCTAGGACTGGTGAAAGAGAGAAGGAAGGAAGGAAGGAAGGAAGGGAAGGAGGGAGGGAGGAAGGAAAGGAGGGAGGGAGGAAGGGAAAAGGCAAAATAAGATTTCAAATTTAGAACAAAAGGTCCTGGAAACATATCAATAGGCAATAGCAAAAAATGGAGAGATGCCTGGGCACCAGTGGCTCATATCTGTAATCGTAGCTTCTCATGAGGCTGAGACCTGATGATCACAGTTCAAAGCCAGCCAGGCAGAAAAGTCTGAAAATAAGACCTATTTCCAATTAACCACTAGAAAATCAGAAGTGGCACTGTGGCTCAAGTTGTAGAGAGCTCACCTGAGCTGAAGAGCTGAGGTACAGCGCCCAGGCCTAGTTCAAACCCCATGACATAAATAAATAAATAAATGGATATTTCACTCAAATGGTAGAACTGAAACAGTAAGTGCAAGACTCAGAGTTTAAGCCTCAGTACTGATTTAAGCATATATATGTATATATACAACTATATGTCTAATGCAAGTATAAAATAGTATATAATATACTGATGTATATACTAATTTAATAATATGTTAGTATGTACATATTCATATGTATTTATATATGTATGTATATGTTTATGTGTGTATGTATATCTCCTATGTGTATTACCCTCCCAAGTCAGGCTCATGTGACTTACATATGTATTTTTTAGCTATTCAAGAGTCCAATCGTGAATAGCTAAAAGCTACTCAAGCTAGCCAGGGCAGTCAGAGATTCTTATGTCTACCAGCAAAAAGTGTTGGAGTGGGAAAGCTAAGGAAAGTCCTGAGTCCAAGCCCTAATGTTACTATAAATAATTCCAAACAACAAAAGTTCCAAAACAAACAAAAATAAAACAAAACCAGAAGTAAAGCCTAAGCTAAATAAGTTGTCTTTGAATTTAACAACTGTATGATACATAAAATTGTAAATGTTCTCACATGAATTTTATATATTATCCCATTTAGTTTAGCTACATCTTTAACTATAAGGTTAATATTTGTAGGAAGAATGACATTCTACTACAATTAATGTGTATTTTAACACAGAGACACACACATACTTCTCCATTTATATCTGTGTAACTAGTACGGAAGAATTAAACTTCTAGCAAAAGTTTATGCTAATAACATAAAGTCTACCTGTATTTTTAAAGCACAAGATTTTTAAATTTAATTATTATGATACTACTTAGGATATTATTATTAAGAAAAAATGGTTATATACGAACTTCAAATGTTTTAATTTTGCAATATGTATGTGCTGACGACACTTAAGTCTTAAAAATACAATTTAATGAAGTATTAAGAATAAAAAAAGCTGTTTTACAATGTTGTAATGATAAACTAACAACTTCACTTACCAGTGTAAACTGATCATAGATTTGGATTAGATCCTCCATTTTGTACTGTTCAAGTACCACAAAGTTTTCCAAATTTCGACTTGATTTTTGTGCACAATCATGGCAATGTATTTCATATGTCTTTTTAGAATTGCTTTCATTAGTGACAAAAAGCAGGTTAAAAACTTCTACCTTTTTACACAAGAGGAAAAAAAAAGGAATAAGATAATAATTAAATTTTGAACCAGAGAATTCTATTGAAAATACTGATACTTAAAAATCATGATTGTGTATGATATACCACATCATTTCACAGCATAAGCAAGACAAGAGTGGTGTTTGTACATTTAGAAATTTTCACTAAAAGATAGTCTTGATTTTACTTTTATTTTTCTCTTAGATTATTAAGTACATGTATAAAAAAGTTTCAGTTCTGTAAGTCAGAATGTAGTTTATCTGTTTCCCAGTCTTAACTTATATATAGTTATACAGTTCAAGTTTTAGACAATATGCACTGAGTACATTGACTATATTTACTTCTTTTCCCTCTCACCTACCCTCGGCCTTTTAAACATGCTTCTATTTCCAAACATTCTTTTTCTATCTCTAAAAATAAACCAAGTTTAAAAGTGTTTAACAGATGGCATCTATGGATTTCACTATTTCTTTTGATTTTGAGAACATTTCACAGTAATGTTTAATTAGATCTACATTTTATTTAGAAATGACAAATAATAAATTGATGGTGATGCCTCTCATTCTATCCTTTGTAGAGTCTGTGATTGGTATAATAGGTCTAGAATAGTCCAATCAATAAAGTTCTTGACACCCTGTATCAACAGAAATAAGGAGTAAAGGTACATGCTTGCCATCCAAGCTACACTGAAAGAATAAATAGGAGGACTGTGGTCCAGGCTGGCTTGGGGAAAAAGAGCTGGAACCATAATCCAAGCAATAGAAGACCTGTATAGTAAGAGAAAGAGAAAGGGGGGAAAAAGAGAGGGTGAGAGAAGAGGGGAGAAGAAATGTACAGTTACTTACCTCACAGATGTTACAGTAAGAAGCTGGTTCTTTTTTTGACCGTCCATGCCATAGAACCTCTTTTCCTGATGCAAGAAGAGCCTCTCTCAATGCCTGACATTGCTTTAGAACTTTCAGAAGACAATACCTATTGCACAGAGAAGAATAGGATACCAAATAAAGATACAAGAACTAAACAAAAAGTAGTGACTAGCAAAAACAATCCTTAATAGAAAGAACAGTGCTAAAGGAAGATCAATATCAAATTTCAAACTCTACTATAAAGCCATAGTAATCAAAACAGCTTGGTACTGGCACAAGAACAGACCTCAGGACCAATGGAATAGAATTGAAAATCCAGGGCTGGGAAGGTGGCTCAGTGGTAGAGCGCTTGCCTTGCATGCCTAAGGCCCTGGGTTCGATTCCTCAGCACCACGTAAGCAAAAAGGAAAAAAAAAGCAGGAAGTGGCACTGTGGCTCAAGTGGTAGAGTGTTAGCCTTGAGCTGAAGAGCTGAGGGACAGCCCCCAGGCCAGAGTTCAGGCCTCATGACCAGACACACACACACGCACACACAACCACACACACACACACACACACACACACACACACACACGAATTGAAAATCCAGAAATGAACCCACAGACCTATAGCCATCTAATCTTTGATAAGGGAGGGAGCTAAAAAAAGTAAAATGGAAGAAAGCTTCTTCAGTAAATGGTGTTGGCAAAACTGGTTAATCACTTGTAGAAAATGAAAGCTATATCCTTATATATCACCCTGTAGCAGAATAAACTCCAAATGGATCCAAGACCTAAGAGTCAAAGCAGAAACCCTGAAAACATTACAGGAAAGAATAGGAGAAATCCTAGGTCTCTTTGGCACAGGCTGAAATTTTCTTAATAGAGACCTATAAAGACAACAAATCAAAGAAAGGTTGGACAAATGGGATTGCATAAAATTGCAGAGCTTCTGCATGGCAAAGGACATAGTTATCAAGATCAATAGAAAGCCCACAGATTGGGAGAAGATTTCACTAGTCATACCTAAAATATACCTGGAACTCAAAAAGTTAAATCCCCCAACAACAAATCCTCAAAGAAGCAACTGCCCGATAAATAATGGGCTTATTTAGACTTAAAGAGAAACTTTTCTGAAGAGGAAAGAAGGATGGCCAATAGACACATGAACAAATGCTCAACCTTAAAAGAAATGAATAAAAGAAATGCAAATCAAAACAACATTGGATACCACCTCACCCCAGTTAGAATGGCTATAATCAAGAACTCTTAATAACAACAGATGCTGGAGGGGATGTGGACAAAAGGGAACCTTTCTGCATTGTTGGTGGGAGTGTAAACTTGTTCAACCACTTTGGAAAACAGTATGGAGGATCCTCAAAAGTCTATACAGAGAGCTCCCCTATGACCCAGCAATCCCACTTTTGGGCATTTACCCAAATGATCAAACAAGGCCACACTAAAGCTACCAGCACGACTATGTTTACTGCAGCATTATTTACCATAGCTAAGATATGGAACCAACCCAGATGCCCCTCAGTAGATGAATGGATCAAGAAAATGTGGTATATATACACAATGGAATTCTATGCCCCCATCAGAAAGAATGACATTGCCCCATTTGTTAGGAAATGGAAAGGCTTGGAAAAAATTATACTAAGTAAGCCAGGCCCAAAGAAACATAAGTCCCATAGTTTCCTTTATTTGCAATATCTAGTATATGTTTGAGACAAGCAGAAAAGGTCAGATATGATGATGTTAAGCGAGATGAACCCCAAGATAAGGACACGGTTTTTTTTTTCTTTCTTGCTATTGTTTCTAATGTATTTATAAGGTATGATGTTGAGTTTTTTGTTGCTATGTATGTCCCTCCCCCACGGTATGATCCCTGTTTTCACTATATTTGATGTTGATATAATTTGGGGAGCAGAAGGAAAAAAAATGTTAAAACATGGATACAGGTTGACCCATTGCAACAATCAGATGTACAAGATGCTATGTCGAAAAATGAACTTTACAAATTAGGTGGAGTGGCAGGGGGGAGTATAGTTATGGAGACGGGAGAGACAGGATGATAGAGGAAAAACAAAGGAGGAGGCAGCAATGCTTGATTAGAAATGTATTCATTACCTTGCTCATGTAATTGTTATTTCTCTGTACAGTATTTTCACAATAAAAAACTATTTAAAAAAATTATACTATGAAGCCATCATAACCCTCATCCCAAAACCAGGCAGGGACTCATCAAAGAAAGAGAACTATAGACCCATTTCTTTGATGAACATTGATGCAAAACTTCTCAACAAAATTTTGGCCAATCGACTTCAACAATTCATCCAAAAAATCATACACCACGATCAAACAGGATTCATTTCAGGGATGCAAAGCTGGTTCAATATACGCAAATCAATTAATATTATTCATCACATCAACAGGAGCAAGAATAAGAACCACATGGTTATCTCAATAGATGCAGAAAAAGCATTCGACAAGATCCAACACCCCTTTATGATGAAGGTTTTGGAAAAATTAGGAATCCATGGAACATTCCTCAATACAATAAAGGCTGTATATGACAAACCTACAGCCAGCATTATAATCAATGGTGAAAAACTAAAGCCATTTCCTCTTAACTCAGGAACAAGACAAGGATGCCCACTCTCTCCACTTCTCTTCAATCTAGTATTAGAATGCCTAGCTACAGCAATAAGACAAGATGCAGACATAAAGGGGATCCAAATAGGGAAAGAAGAAATAAAACTCTCCCTCTTTGCAGATGACATGATCTTGTATTTAAAGAATCCCATAGACTCCACTCCCAAATTACTCAAGCTGATTCAAAACTTTGGCAAAGTAGCAGGTTATAAAATTAACCCCCAAAAATCAATGGCTTTTCTGTATGCCAACAATGAGAAAAGTGTGGCTGAAATTAGGAAAGCAACTCCATTTGTAATAGCCCCACAAAAAATAAAATACCTCGGAATTAACTTAACTAAAGAAGTGAAGGACCTCTATGATGAAAACTTTAAAATCTTGAAAAAGGAAATCAACACAGAACTTAAAAAATGGCAAAACCTCCCATGCTCCTGGATTGGAAAGATTAACATCGTGAAAATGGCAATACTTCCCAAGGCTATCTACAAATTCAACACAATACCTATCAAAATTCCACCCTCATTCTTCAAGGAAATAGAAGAGGCAATCCAAAAATTCATATGGAACAATAAAAGACCCCGAATAGCAAAAACGCTCCTCAACGGAAAGAACACTGCTGGAGGAATATCAATACCAAATTTCAAACTCTACTATAAAGCCATAGTAATCAAAACAGCTTGGTATTGCCATAAGAACAGACCTCAGGACCAATGGAATAGAATTGAAAACCCAGAAATGAACCTACAGACCTATAGCCATCTAATCTTCGATAAGGGAGCTAAAACAATAGAATGGAAGACAGACAGCCTCTTCAGTAAATGGTGCTGGCAAAACTGGTTAACTACATGTAGAAAACTAAAGCTAGATCCTTATATATCACCCTGCACCAGAATCAACTCCAAATGGATCAAAGACCTTGAACTCAAAGCAGACACTCTGAAAACATTACAGGATGGAATAGGAGAAACCCTGGGTCTCCTTGGCACAGGCCGAAATTTTCTGAATAGAGACCCAGAAACACAACAAATCAAAGAAAGGCTGGACAAATGGGATTGTATAAGGTTGCAGAGCTTCTGCAGGGCAAATGACATAGCTAGCAAGATCAATAGAAAGCCCACGGACTGGGAGAAGATCTTTACTAGCCATACAACGGACAAGGGTCTCATATCTAAAATATACTTGGAACTCAAAAAATTAAACCACCCAACAACAAATCCTCAAAGAAACAACTGCCCAATAAGTAAGTGGGCGAAAGACTTAAAGAGAAGCTTCTCTGAAGAAGAAAGAAGGATGGCCAATAGACACATGAAGAAATGTTCAACATCCCTAGCCATAAAAGAAATGCAAATCCAAACAACATTGAGATATCACCTCACTCCAGTTAGAATGGCAAAAATCAAGAACTCTGACAACAACAGATGCTGGAGGGGATGTGGACAGAAAGGAACCTTACTTCATTGTTGGTGGGAATGTAAACTTGTTCAACCACTTTGGAAAGCAGTATGGAGGTTCCTCAAAAGACTCCACATAGAGCTCCCCAATGACCCAGCAATCCCACTTTTGGGCATTTACCCAAATGATCACAAACAAGGCCACACTAAAGCTACCAGCACAACTATGTTTATTGCAGCATTATTTACCATAGCTAAGACATGGAACCAACCCAGTTGCCCCTCAGTAGATGAATGGATCAAGAAAATGTGGTATATATACACAATGGAATTCTATGCCTCCATCAGAAAGAATGACATTTCCCCATTTGTTAGGAAATGGAAAGGCTTGGAAAAAATTATATTAAGTGAAGTAAGCCAGGCCCAAAGAAACATAGGTCCCATGGTTTCCCTTATTTGCAATATCTAGTATAAGTATGAGTCAAGCGGAAAAAGTCAGATAATGTGATGTTAGGAAAACGAACCCTCAAATATGTATTTTAATGTTTTTGTTTCTTTCATGCATGTGTTTCTAACGCATTTATAAGATTATTTCTTTGTTGCTTTGTATGTCCCTCCCCCACAGTGTAACCCCCGCTTTCACTATATTTGATGTCAGTATAACATGTGGAGGAGATGGGGACAAACAAGTCGTTTAAGGATTCAGGTGGACCTGTTGCAACAATGAGAAGTACAAAATGTCATGTCAAAACCAGCTTTACAGTCGGTGGGGGGGGGTATGATTGGGTGGGAGGGAGGGGGGAGGCTGGGAATGGAGGTGAAGGGTAAACAAAGGAGGAGGCTGCAATGCTTGGTAAGAAATGTATGCATTATCCTGCCCATGTAATTGTAACTCCTCTGTACAGTATGTTCTCAAGTAAAATAAAATAAAATTAAAAAAAAAATGGCAAAACCTCCCATGCTCCTGAATTGGAAAGATTAACATCGTGAAAATGGCAATACTTCCCAAGGCTATCTACAAATTCAACGCAATACCTATCAAAATTCCACCCTCATTCTTCAAGGAAATAGAAGAGGCAATCCAAAAATTCATATGGAACAATAAAAGACCCCGAATAGCAAAAACGCTCCTCAACGGAAAGAACACTGCTGGAGGAATATCAATACCAAATTTCAAACTCTACTATAAAGCCATAGTAATCAAAACAGCTTGGTATTGACATAAGAACAGACCTCAGGACCAATGGAATAGAATTGAAAACCCAGAAATGAACCTACAGACCTATAGCCATCTAATCTTCGATAAGGGAGCTAAACAATAGAATGGAAGACAGACAGCCTCTTCAGTAAATGGTGCTGGCAAAACTGGTTAACTACATGTAGAAAACTAAAGCTAGATCCTTATATATCACCCTGCACCAGAATCAACTCCAAATGGATCAAAGACCTTGAACTCAAAGCAGACACTCTGAAAACATTACAGGATGGAATAGGAGAAACCCTGGGTCTCCTTGGCTCAGGCCGAAATTTTCTGAATAGAGACCCGGAAACACAACAAATCAAAGAAAGGCTGGACAAATGGGATTGTATAAGGTTGCAGAGCTTCTGCAGGGCAAATGACATAGCTAGCAAGATCAATAGAAAGCCCACGGACTGGGAGAAGATCTTTACTAGCCATACAACGGACAAGGGTCTCATATCTAAAATATACTTGGAACTCAAAAAATTAAACCACCCAACAACAAATCCTCAAAGAAACAACTGCCCAATAAGTAAGTGGGCTAAAGACTTAAAGAGAAGCTTCTCTGAAGAAGAAAGAAGGATGGCCAATAGACACATGAAGAAATGTTCAACATCCCTAGCCATAAAAGAAATGCAAATCCAAACAACATTGAGATATCACCTCACTCCAGTTAGAACAGCAAAAATCAAGAACTCTAACAACAACAGATGCTGGAGGGGATGTGGACAGAAAGGAACCTTACTTCATTGTTGGTGGGAATGTAAACTTGTTCAACCACTTTGGAAAGCAGTATGGAGGTTCCTCAAAAGACTTCACATAGAACTCCCCTATGACCCAGCAATCCCACTTTTGGACATTTACCCTAATGTTTACAAAAAAGACCACACTAAAGCTACCAGCACAACTATGTTTATTGCAGCATTATTTACCATAGCTAAGATCTGGAACCAACCCAGATGCCCCTCAGTAGATGAATGGATCAAGAAAATGTGGTATATATACACAATGGAATTCTATGCCTCCATCAGAAAGAATGACATTGCCCCATTTGTTAGGAAATGGAAAGGCTTGGAAAAAATTATATTAAGTGAAGTAAGCCAGGCCCAAAGAAACATAGGTCCCATGGTTTCCCTTATTTGCAATATCTAGTATAGGTATGAGTCAAGCGGAAAAAGTCAGAGAATGTGATGTTAGGAAAACGAACCCTCAAATATGTATTTTAATGTTTTTGTTTCTTTCATGCATGTGTTTCTAACGCATTTATAAGATTATTTCTTGGTTGCTTTGTATGTCCCTCCCCCACAGTGTAACCCCCGCTTTCACTATATTTGATGTCAGTATAACATGTGGAGGAGATGGGGACAAACAAGTCGTTTAAGGATTCAGGTGGACCTGTTGCAACAATGAGAAGTACAAAATGTCATGTCAAAACCAGCTTTACAATGTCGGAGGGGGGGAGGGGGGGTATGATTGGGTGGGGGGGAGGGGGGAGGCTGGGAAGGGAGGGGAAGGGTAAACAAAGGAGGAGGCTGCAATGCTTGGTAAGAAATGTATGCATTATCCTGACCATGTAATTGTAACCCCTCTGTTCAGTATGTTCTCAAATAAAATAAAATAAAATTAAAAAAATATATATATAACATTTTTTAATTCTGATGATGCTACAGTATTAGTACCAGTTTTCTATCCACACCAATAAAATTATATCATGTAACCTCAAAGCTAACAGTTTAGAACTTAAACAAAATGGATTATGCCAGAATGTTAGTTTCTCTTGATATTATAACCGAATAACTGTTTCTATTCCCATTAGATGGTTTATTTTATAACCAAGTTAACGAGAATAGATCAGTCACATAATACACATTCTCCAATAGAATTTTTATTTTCCTTTTCTTTTTTTGGGGGGGGGGGAGCTGTCCCTCAGCTCTTCAGCTCAAAGGTAGCGCTCTACCACTTGAGCCACAGCGCCACTTCTGGCTTTTTTTTTTCCTGCTTATGTGATGCTGAATCGAACCCTGGGCCACAGGCATGCAAAGCAAGCGCTCTACCACTGAACCACCCTCCCACCCCCTCCAATAGAATTTTTTTCTGAATCGTGAGAAACTGTTCTTTAGTAAGTAAAGTAACTATTTATCTTTAAAAGCAGTTATTATTCAAAGGTTGAAGATTTTAACTCTTCTTAAATGATTATGTAAATGAAGAAAGGTAAACAAGAAAAATAAAGTATAAAGGTAAGCAGCCAGATAAGGAAATGAAGGAAGATCTGAGAATCATAATTCAAATGTGTGTGTGTGTGTGTGTGAGTGTGTGTGTTTGGGGTCTGGTTGTGGGGCCTGAACTCTGTGCTGTCCCTCAGCTCTTCAGCTCAAGGCTAGCGCTCTACCACTTGAGCCACAGCGCTACTTCCGGCTTTTATCTTTTTGCTTATGTGGTGCTGAGGAATCGAACCCAGGGCCTCATGCATGCAAGGCAAGTGCTCTATCACTGAGCCACCTTCCCAGCCCCGTGTGTGTGTGTGTGTGTGTGTGTGTGTGTGTGTGTGTGTGTGATTTGGCCAGATCTGGGGCTTGAATTCAGGGCTTAAGAACTGTCCCCAATCTCCTTATAGCTCAAGGCTAGTCCTTACCACTTAAGCCAGAGCACAACTTCTGCCCTTACTTGTGTTTAATTGGAGAAAATAAGCTCAAGGACTTCTTGAACTGCTTTCAACCTGTGATCCTCACATCTCAGCCTCCTCAGTAGCTAGGATTATAGGTGAGCCACTGGCAGATTGGAATTCCTTTTAACTTTAAGAAAAAATCTGCTTCACAGAATTTTCAGCTTGGCTAACCTCTGGCCTCTATTCCCAGATCATAGCCTCCTTATAAACATAAACCACCAGACCTCTTTTTTAAAAATCATCTTTTCTGTGATTCAGGAAACATGGGTTCAAATTTGTAAATTTAGCTTGTAAAATTATAGCATTAAAAAGATTTTTGCTGTCAAAATTCATTAGAGTTCATTAATGTGCAGGCATTTATAAGATAAATCATTTAACTGCTAATGTTACACTATATTAGTTACATATAAACCTGCATATAGCTAATGTACTATACATATACAGTATACACAGTAAGTTGTTTACCTCTGTCCCTTTCCCAATATTGTATTGGCAATTATAATTTTACTTATTCATATGTATGTTTTTCCTTTGTAGGTGTTACTCAAGTATTGGGAAAGTTCAAGATGCCTTTATATCTTACAGGCAATCCATTGATAAATCAGAAGCAAGTGCAGATACCTGGTGTTCAATAGGGTAAGGTTATACTCATAGAAGTAATAGCTTATTATTGTTCTCTCTAATGTACCAATGTGGGCCTTGACCTCAAAACCTAGGCATATCCCTGAGCTTTTCCATTCAAGGCTAGTGCTCTACACTTGGGCCACAACTCTACTTTTGGCCTTTTGGTGGCAAATTGAAGATAAGCGTCTCATAGACTTTTCTGTCCTGACTGAGTTTGAATTTTATCTTCAGATCTCAGCCTCCTGAGTAGTTAGGATTAGAGGTATGAGCTACCAGTGCACAAAGTAATAATTTAATTGATGCACTGGATCATTGGAAAGCATACTTTGCAGTTTTTATCAATCTAAACAATTTTTGAAAATTTTCTCATTATTTTTCTAGAGTCCTCTATCAACAGCAGAATCAGCCTATGGATGCCTTACAGGCTTATATTTGTGCTGTACAGTTGGACCATGGGCACGCAGTAGCCTGGATGGACTTGGGCACTCTTTATGAGTCTTGCAGCCAACCAGGAGATGCCATTAAATGTTACTTAAATGCAACTAGAAGCAAAGTTGTAGTAATACTTCTACACTTGCAGCAAGAATTAAGTTTTTACAGGTAAGTATTTTAAATAATGTATTTTAAAAGATACAGATTTCCCTTTAGAACATGTAGCAGGAAAAGTGGAAACTTTATGCATTTTTTGGTGTTAGCTTGTTTCCATATTCTTAATATTTTCATATTATTTTACTTTTCATTTTAAGTGAGATGTGGTATTTGAAATATGTTTTTTACACATGTATTTTGTTTATACATATTAATTTATATGCTCTACATTACATGCGTTAACATCCTTTTATGTGTGCTATATACTTAAAGTTGTCATAGTATTCCAAGAAAAGAACACAACACTACTTTTTTCTCTTACTTGAAGTTTCATAAGAAATATATATAAGAGAAGTCTGAAAAACGGATCATAGCTTTATATTTGGCATCTTTCTGAACTTCCAGATTTAAAATCATTCCTACTAAAATTAAATATTTATAACATTACAGAAGATTTAGTGACATACTCTTACTAAATAGGCTTGTGTTAAATTTGCTTTTTACATAATTTTTCCTAGGCTCAGTTCTGTAACCTTCCACAAAGTAGTCTACAGAATAAAACTAAATTACTTCCTAGTATTGAGGAGGCATGGAGCCTACCAATTCCCGCAGAGCTTACCTCCAGGCAGGGTGCCATGAACACAACACAGCAGGTGAGAAGTTGGGTTATCTTCTGTAGTACCCAGCTTTAAGGACTTTTTATTGATAGTAGTTCAAACTGTATTGTTTAACCAGATGTAGAATTAGCTTCTTTAAAATGTAAAATCTTTTTATTTAAAAAAATAAATATTTCAAAATTAGTCACAGAGGCATATTAAATCAAAATGAATTCCTTCTTTTACAGGAAGAAACTTGAATACCAATTAAAAATTTTAATATATCTTATTTATTGGAAATATTCCTCATCAAACACTTAGTGAATTTGAAACAATTTTTTCTTTAAAAAGGTACACATTTCTGCACTGATAATTTACTTCTTATTTTCACTGAACTTTTGAAAGTTCATGGCTATAGCATTTTGAAATTTGAAAATATGAATTAAAAATGTATAGAACCATAATTTTTTTTTACTTGTAAGGTTTATGAAACTCCTGTTATAACTCAGTTAATCGCCAATTTTACAGAAATGCTTGTCACTTGATTACCTCTAATTAAGTGGAAGGCTTGCCTACTTCATGTATACATAAACATATGTTAGGGAAAATTCCAATAAAAATGAAGTTCTAGCCCTTCATAAAGCATAAATAGAAAATGAAGTAGTATTTGTTTCATGTAGTAGTTGCATGATTTTATGTATAGACAGTAGGGAAAAGTTGTGTTTATCAATCATTTTATTCATTTCACAATTTTAACCTATTTTTAAACATTCTGGTAACAAGGAAATAAATTGATTATTGGATATATTGGACAGTCCTTCTAGTTGTTTGATACATGTCTTAAATAGTGGCTTTTTCCCATAAGTTTATAGGTTTGCAAATTTATTGCACATTTTGGACTAAGTTCAAGAAAATTCAGTATAATAAGTACTTTAAGTATGCAAATTTTTCAGATACTAATCTTTTAGCATTATACTAAACACTAAACATAAGAGTTAGGTTTTATACATAATCCTAATTTTAAACTGAATTTTTCTTAGAATGGTTCTGATTACTGGAATAGTGGACAAACTGTTTCATATAATCCAGTAGAGCAACAAATTCATACACAGTGTTGGACACCACAAAAACTACAGGTATGAAACATTGTTGTAAAATGATTTCTAAGCAAAAGTTAGGGCTATTAAATTTAATACTTATGTAGATAAAATGAACCTACCCCTGTTATAGAGTTGTACTCTATTTGAGTAGTTATGGAGAGAAATATTAAATGGATGGTAGAATAAAAGACTCAAGATTAGGAGTACTGCTCATGCCCCGAGTTCAAGCCCCACTATTGGCCAAAAAGGAAAAAAGATAAAAATTTTAAATATATTTAAGAAATACAAATTTTACAGATTATTTTTTATGAAAATAGAAATGTAAGCAAAAATCTATCTATACATCTATATTTAAGATCTTGCCCCAGGGCTGGGAAGGTGGCTCAGTGGTAGAGTGCACCAGGCTCTGGGTTTGATTCCTCAGCATCACATAAGCAGAAAAAGCCAAAAGTGGTGCTGTGGTTCAAGTGATATGGTGCTAGCCTTGAGCTGAAGAGCTGAGGGACAGCACCCAGGCTCCTGAGTTCAGGCCCCACAACTGGCAAAAAAAAAAAAATGTTTCTTAAAAATGTATTTGGAACTGGACACTGGTGGCTCACACCTGCAATCCTAGCCACTCAGAAGGCTTAAGATCTGAGAATTACAATTTGAAGCCAGGTCAGGCAGTGAAGTCTGAGACTCTCATCTCCAAATAACCACTTAAAAACTGGATGTAGAGCTGCCACTTAAAGTAGTAGAACAATAGCCTGGAATAAAAAAACGTTTGGGACAGCCTTAGTTCAAGACTGATGATTGACATAAATAAAATATATGTTAAGGATTTTTTCCTGTCAATAATTACTTCTTTTGTCACCATATAGTGTTCCATTTATAGTTCTAAGGGTACATTTTCATTTCAGTAATGTCTCACTATAGTTCATTTAAGTCTTTTCAAATGCTTTTATTACAAAGCATGGTTTTCCACGTGTTTTAAAATCATACATCATTTAAGGAATTTTCTCTTTGAAATTTGATTTCTCTTAAAACATTTTCCTAAAAACAAAATAATTTTTTTTCAGGATGATTGCCTTGTTTTTACTACCTAACTTAGACTTCATTAAGTATTAACTATTAGGTAGATATCAGTATTTTATTTTATTTATTTATTTTTATTTTTTTGTTAGCTATGGACTTAGGGCCTAGGCACTGTCCCTGACTTCTTTTGCTCAAGGCTAGTGCTCTACCACTTGGAGCCAGAGTTCCACTTCCAGTTTTCTAGTGGTTAATTGGAGATACCTTGTGGGCTTTCTTGAGTAGGCTGGCTTCAAACCACAGTCCTCAGATCTCAAAGTAGCTAGGATTACAGGTTGAGACACTGACATCTGGTAGAGGAATTACTATCTTATGTCATATAGTGTTTATGAGTTTATAGACATTTCTCTGAGAAGTGCCTATGGGATCTTCATTTTTAGATTAAATTTTCCTTCTTCTAGCAGTTGGAACATCTGCGTGCAAATAAAGATAATTTAAATCCAACACAGAGACTGATGCTGGACCAGCTGGAAAGTCAGTTTGCCTTAATGCAGCAACAAGTATGCATAAAATCTTTTTCTTTCTAAAATCTATTCACCTATGGACTTTTTTTTTCATGTATCATTGTAGAGTTTGTAATGCTTACAGTGTTTGTATATTCTGTAGAATTTACATATTTGAACCTTAAATATTGATGAGTAAAAGATTTTTTTAAGGAAAAATAATCATAACTTTCTTTAGGACAAGTATTAGTATTTTATTATACATTTACATAGTATTTTTCTTTTGTATTCCTTTTTGTTCTCTCTTTTTTGTGTCTTAACATTAACCACTTTCTCAATTTGAATGGTTGTTTGGCATAAGCATATGTCAATTTACTATTTCATGATAGAAAAAAAACTATAAATTTCAGATTCATAATCCATATCAGCTGCTTTTGTTGAGCATTAAGGAAAACATCCTTTTTTATTCAGGCACTACATTTAAAACTGAAAATGTTTTTTGTAGTTTTTAGCTAGAGAAATTAGATGTTATAATAAAATTAGTGATGTTTTAATTAAACAGTTTCAAAATCACACAAGTAGATTTCTTTTTGCTTTTAAAATTGAGACAGACAAGAGTTGCTCAAGTACAAACTACTGGAATTTTTAATGGGCCAATATCTGACTCGACTGACTACAAATCTGTAGCTAGAAACCACATGTTTCTCTGACCAGAATACCTAGCATCTGTCAACTTAGTTTTACTTCTCTTTTTTTGTATGGAAAAGCCTTTTGTCTAATGTAAATTTTTCTGTAGGCTGCATTCCTTTCACCACATCACAAATTGTAAGAATTACAAACACTATTTGGTGGGCAATATTTATATAAACAGAAGTAGAAGTAATGGATATGTGCCTTACTTGCAGCAAAACATACTTAATCTACCTCATATCTGCAAAAACCAGACCAGCAGTACAAGAGAGCCATTGAGAAAACAACTTTCTAATTCTGCTCAGGTAAAAGAAAGACTAGCTATTTTATTGGCCCTTACACAATGCTTTACCTTTATTTACCTGATATACATTTTGAGAAGAAGAGATAATAATTTAAGGAATGGTTTTATATATAAGCACTATCTTTAATTCATAATGATAGGAAAACCATACATGTTACATAATCATTGCTATTTTATAATTCATTCTGTTTCTATGTTTTTGTTTATTTACCAACTGGAAGTTTGTACATTTTATTACATAGTATAGAAATAAAGGGAAAAGATGAAAAAAACTTAGGAGACTTATAATTCCTGGAATTACGTTTAGGCATCAAAATAGAACATTTCTCTTAGAAATTTGACTCAGTGACTTTTTAAAAAATTAATTAATTAGTTAATTAATTTTATTGTGAAAATACCTTACAGAGGGGTTACAATTATGGGCAAGATAACGAGTACATTTCTTATCAAGCATGTTGCCTCCTCCTTTGTTTCCCTTTCCGTATCCCTTCCCATATCCCTCCCTGCCACCGACTCAATGACTTTTAAAAGCAATATGGATTAGTGTCTGCTAGTTTAGTTTACTAGTTGATTAGTTTCTACTTGAAGCTTGAGGTTTGAATTTAGATACTGATTTTTTTTTGTGGTGTTTATATGGGCTAGTTAAAATATAAACTCTCTTGAAATATATGACAGTAGCAGTTGTTTGCAGTCTGACATAGCCATAATGTATTAGTATTAAACATCCTATACTACCATGTTTTATGTTGTTACCATTTTTTAACTATCCTATTCTCTGGTTTTGCATCTCATCATGTCTACAAATGCCAAATTGTTTCTCCAGTCCCGTGCAGCCGTTCTTTTTGAGTACTGTGTTCCATAAATTACAGAGCTCAACTTTTTATTATAAAATAAGTTTTGTGATATCTTCTTTGTGATAAAATAAGCTTTAGATATCTTGACCAACTGGTAATTTAAGTTAGGCCAGACTAAGCTATCATGGTTTTTTAGGTGACCTTTCATCTTTAATAGGTCCAATGTGTGTAGGGGGAAGTTAAAACAGAATCAAGAATTACAATAAAATATGACAGGAACTGTGGATACCCAAGTACTTCAGAAGAGTCAAAATTTAACAATTCAGAAAATAGATTTGTCTGTTAAAATGTGAATAGGTGATAGGTTGTATAAAGGGAAAGACAAAATGTGAGACTTCAATGAAAGATGTCACTTACTGGAAGACATAGGACTTTCTTTTAAAATGGTTAGTAATTGATGGACTGTACTTTTCAGAGCTGTTCAATGTTTATAATTAAGGGGAAATATAGACATTTCATTCCCTTATTAACACCTTGTATTTGTGTAGTACATTTCTTATAATGGTGAGATGACACTGATTATTAACTAAAGCATGACAGTGTCAAATCAAATTTCCTCTCAGCTCCACCTGAACCTCTGTCATCTACTGATTTTTTTGTTTGTTTCTATAATATTGCCTTTTCTTTTTCTTTTTGTCAGTCATGGAGCCTGAACTCTGGGCCTAGGCACTGTCCCTCAACTCTCAGCTCAAGGCTAGTGTTCTACCACTTGAGCCACAGCACCACTTCTGGCTTTTTCTGCTTATGTGGTGCTGAGGAATCGAACCCAGGGTCTCATTCATGAAAGGCAAGAGCTCTACCACTGAGCCACCTTCCCATCCCCAATATTGCCTTTCTAAAATGTCTTCTGGCTATAATCATATATGAGAGATTTTTCAGATTGTTAATCTTTTATTTAGAAATACAGTTGTAGTTTACCCAATATCTCTTCATTGTATGATAGAATTTACATAGTTTTACTCCCTGAATGGTACTCTTAACTATTTTAGTAACTCTTCACACATGTAAATCTTCTGTATATATTTTTCTTGTCTTTTGACATCTGTCTGTATAGATACAATTGGATTGTGTTAGAAATATCCAAATTTACATTGGGATAAAAAAAGTTTTCTCTCCTTGATAGAGTCTTTTCATTTATAGCTTACATCCTAAAAGTCTTGGTTTACATTTAGGCATTCTTTTTTTTTTTTTTTTTTTTTTTTTGTGAAAATACTACAGAGGGGTTACAATTACATGGGCAAGATAATGAGTACATTTCTTATCAAGCATTGTAGCCTCTTCCCTTGTTTCCCCTTCCCATCCTCCCTCCCCTTAATCATGCCCCCCCCAACCAAAGTTGTAAAGTTCGTTTTCAACATAACGACTTGTATATCTCATTGTTGCAATAGGTCCACCTGTATCCCTATTTTAACGATTTGTTTTTCCCCTTCCCCTCCACAAATTATACCGACATCAAATACAGTGAAAGCACGGGTTATACTGTGGGGGAGGGACATACAAAGGAACAAAGAAATAATCTTATAAATGTGTTAGAAACAATCACATGAAAGAAAAAATTTAGGCATTCTTAATAGAATAGAGGTTATTATGAATGTGATTGTATGTCTGGTTGTTTTTTACCTTGAAATCGAGGCCTAGATACTGTCCTAGATCTTTCATGCTTAAGGCTAGGGCTCTAGCACTTTTAGCCACAGTTCCAGTTCAGGCTTTTTGTTGATTAAGTGGGGAGAAAAATCTTAGGGGATTTTCTTGCCCAGGATGGCTCTGAACCATGATCTTCAGATCTCAGCCTCCTGTATAGGTAGGGTTACAGGTTAAGAACCACTGGCAGCCAGTTTCAGCATGTTCTTTTTCTATTTTTTGTCAGTCATGGTGCTTGAACTTAGGGCATGGGCACTGGCTGTTCTTTTCACTCAAGGTGAACCCTTTACCACTTAGAGCTTGAGCTAAAGCTCCACTTCCAGTTTTCTGGTGGTTAATTAGAGATAAGAGTCTCATAGACTTTTCTGCCTGCACTGATCCTCAGAACTCAGCTTCCTGAGTAGGTAGGATTACAGGCATGAAAAACATTTTTGTTAAGTGGGACATTTTTTGTATGTGTATCCTGTGTATAGTTTTTAAATAGTTTCATTTTTGTTTTTCATTACTCAGCCAGACACCATTCCTCACATCTGTAATTCCAGTCATTTAGACAAGAAAAATTTATTTCAGATAATCACTATAAAACATTGTGAGAGGGCTGGGAAGATGGCTCAGTGGTAGAGCACTTGCTTTGAATGCCTGAGGCCGTGGTTCAATTCCTCAGCACCACATAAGCAAAAAGAAAGAAGTCGGAGTGGCACTGTAGCTCAAGTGGTAGAGCGCTAGCCTTGAGCTGAAGAGCTGAGGGACAGCACCTAGGTCCAGAGTTCAGGCCCTACAACCACATCAAAACAAAACAAAACAAAACAACAAAAAACACTGTGAGGATTACAGTGTTTGACAGAGAATTATAGATATTTGACAATTATAGGAGGATCAAGATCTGAGGCCAATTCAGGACAAAATATAATAAATAATGTAAAAAAAAAGGAAAATGGGCTGGAAGCCAGGAGTCAGTGGCTCAAACCTGTAATTCTATCTATTCAAAAGGCTGAGATCGGAAGAGTTTCAAAGCCATGGGCAGAAAAGTCTTGTGAGATTCTTAAATCTAATGAACACCAAAAGTTGGAAATAGACCTGTGGCTTTTGTGGTACAGTGTTATCCTTGAAAACAAAAGCTCAAGGACTTTGCCCAGGTCCTAGGTTAAGCCCCAGGATGAGCACACACACAAAAAGAAGATGAAGATGGAAGGAAAGGGAAGGGGGAATGAAAAACTGGAAAAGTGGCTCTAATGGTAGAATCAGTAGAATCTATCACTAGATTAAAAACAACTAATTGCAAATCCTAATACTCCTAAGAAGAAAAAAAGAAAAACTTCATGCAAAAACCCTAGTAGCTTTCCTCTGCACCATTTCTCTATAGTAGATCTTAAGAAATAATTAGAAACCATACACTGCTGGCTTATGCTGATACCTGGAGGATGAGATTTGAAACAGCTCAGATAGAAAAGTTTATGGAATTCTATCTCCCAATTAACCAGCAAAAGGGCAGGCTGGAGGGATGTTTCAAATCTTTGAATGCCAACCAAAGGAAAGAAAGCTGAATGCTTGAAGCAATGAGTTCAAGCCCTTCTACTGACAAACTAAAGTAAGAAATGAAAAATACCTAAGAAAAAAATACAAGTAAAGGCAAATATACTAGATATTTATTGGTTGCATGTATTAATACTATTGTAAAATGTCAATGGTACTCAAAGCAACCTACAGATTCAGTGCAATTACTCTGAGAAAACCAATGATATTCTTCATTGGTGTTTTTTTTTTATCATAGAATTTACATGGAGCTACAGAAGACCCTACTGTCAATGCACCCCAGAAAACAACAATAATAAGTATGATATCTGACTTCAAAAGAAAGTACAGGGCTGTTGTATAGCAAGCCCACTGTCGTTAGTTTTATCTCCATTGCTAAAAAAGAAAAGATCAAAACACAAAAAGTAAAAAAGGATAATAGAAGTTGCATTCTGGTGGTTCACACTTGTAATACTAGCTACTCAGGAAGGTTAAGGTTCAAAGCCAGCCCAGGCAGGAAAATTTATGACACATTTGTCTATCTTATCACTAAAAAGCTGGAAGTGAACCTGTGGCTTAAGCTAGTCTTGAGTGAAAAATTTTGGGTATGGCAGTTGGACCCTGAGTTCAAAACCAGGACACTCAAAAAAAAAAATAAAAAAGACACAAAGATATAGCAACCCAAACTGAATGGTTTTGGAATTTAAAAGAGACATTAAGAAAAGTGAGAGCTGAACGGAACAGAGCAGAAAACCCATAAATAAATAAATAAATATGCTTACACTCTACTTTTTGTTAATTGAAATCCTTTGGCAAAAGTGTGAGTACATGTCTCTGGGAAAAAAAAAGATTATAAAAAGGGTTGGATTATGACCTTTCTGGTAGAGAAATTGCCTAACTAGAGCAAAGCCATGAGTTCAACCCCTTTTACTTCTGGTAACACATCAAGAACATAAATTGTTGAAAAAATATTACCATTGATAAATGATTGAAT